TTATGAAAATCTATATACCTTTTTCATAACACAACTAAACTTTATAACTCATAAACTTATTGTTAACACGAAATTATGCATATTATTTACACTGTAAACTATGATTTGAAGTTTTTAAACTTTATAATTGATCTAATCCAGTTCATTTTAACTGGTAAAAAACCATTGCTCAATTAAGTTTTATTATTTTTTTTAAAAGTTCTTTTCTACAAAAATTTTCATTTATTTTTATTAAATTAATATTCAAAATTTTAGTAATGATTTTTGCTCATTAGTTTCTTTAGTAAAAAATAACGAACATCCTAAATATTCAGAATATACAACATTAACTTCAAGATAGAAAACATACAAATTATTCTCATTAACTTCATCTTAAGACAAATACTCATTTGCTGAAATCAATAGATGTTAATATATTATTTTTATTTAATCAAGCCATATTCTTTAATAACTCAAAACAGTTATTTAAAAAAAAAAGGCTTGTGTGAGGACGTATTTTAGAATTATTATCATTTTGTGTTACACGGGATTAAACTTTTTTAATTTATCTGCTAAAAAGTGCAGTGAACATACATTGTGGTTTTTGAAAATCACTGTTTTTCTATTGAAAAAAATAAGCTTGAGAGTGATATTCTCCCTTCAAATATTTTAATTTCCCTGCTGAAAAGTGTTGTGAATGCGGAGCTTTTTCCACATTAAAACGATTAAAATTGTACTGCAGAAATTCAATGAATAAGGTTTTACAGATATTATTTCCTAATTGGCAAAACAATATTTTAATGCTTTATTATAAGCTAATGCATTTTTAATTACTTTTTTTTATTCTTAGGAATGTCTCAACACATTAGCTTAATTATTATTAATGCATCACAAAATAGAAGTACATATTGATGAAATTATAAATGAAATAGTTACTAAAGGAAGGACACTTAATTTATGATTTTTTACAATTTTAGATTTAATACAATTGATATATAATGATTACAAATTATGTAAGTTGATATTTATTATAGAATGTCGTGTATGGTATACACTATACAGCATATAGTAAAAATGTATTGGAAATTTGAAAGAATGGTTAGTTCAATTTCCGTGTACATTGTTTAATGGCTTATCCTCTCTATTAAACAATTCATAAATACGCCACTAGTGCATAAATAAGTATTTTAACATTGTTGAATTAATATATCTACGTAAATTTAGGTGTATCTATACAATTTTATGATATAATGTTACCAGTTAAGTATTGGAACGAATGAAAAATATTTGATTACATACAAATTTCAAAATGCGATTTTTTTGGTTATATTTTTTCTTACGTTTGTTACCACCATAGTGGTTAAGTGCAGTGATTATTTTTCTATGGAATAACATGTTAGGTACACGAACCAGATATATAATACGATAAAATAAACTAAAATTAAACAAAAAACATACCCAAAAATGTAAAGTCTATGCCCTTATCGTTGTTGCGTATATACATAGCTATGCGCATCATGTACTAGTCGTCTCTATTGTTAATGTAAATCCATTAAGTAAAACATTGATACAAAATACATGTGTAATACGTTCGTATCGAAATTGATAAAACGAAAAATATAATATGACTAACATGCAACATTAAGTTTTCCTATATTTTAAGTTTATTTATTTTAATGAATTGGTCAATATTATAAAGAAAAACTATTTTATGAAAGATTTCTTATAATAAATCTACTTTGGCATAGTATCATGATTGTAATATACACTAATTATATTCCATTTATAACTGGGAAATTAAATCACAATATGGTAGAATTTTGCTAGCATAGGTGATTTAGTTTTATTCAGTTTCGGGCGTAATAAAATCTCAGAATTAATCATATTTACCTATATAACTAGAAATAGCTCTTGAAATATTATAATAAAATACTTATACCTACCTACGCAATAATGGTACTTATTAAATAATAAAAAAAAAAATATATAAACACTTGATAAACAAAAAATATATGTACTTATAATTAAAATTGTACCATTGGACTGGCATAATTTTACATTGGAAATTAAAATTATTTTATTTTAGATGATAAAAAATATTTATATTTTTATCTAATCTTGATATAACAATACGGAATCAATTCATAATTAAGTTTAAGTATTAAATAAAAAAATATTAAAATTATTAACATTTAGTATGAATATTAAAAAGTAATTATATTTTAAGACGAGTTTTAAAATTAATACATAATTATGTAGTATGTAGGCATCTAAAATTATAAATTAAATAAACTACTTTATGTACTTAGTTCAACCGTAAGGCGTATTTGAAGTAGAAAGATGAGGGCGATTGCTTAATGAAATATTCGTTATTCATACACATCGGTAGCGATGAATAATATTAAAGACCTGTTGATTATTTTTAATTTATAAATTTTAGTTAATTTGTGTTTACAATTTTAAATCGATGTACGTTTAAAATAATAACAAAATTAATATTATTTTGACATTAATTATTAGTCTTAATTTTTTTTTTTTTTTTAATTTCAATAGGATTAAATTTGAATATTATTAAAAAAAAATATTTTTGATGGGTTTTATTTTTAATTTTATGGGAGATTTTGACAATTTGATGTTTAAAATTTATTTCAAAATAAAATAAGCATTTTTATGTAAAATAAAAATACACCAATTAGTTTCATGATTTCCAGATCGTAAGATGTCAGTATTACTTGCATTTAATCGAATAACGTCCTGTGGTCACCAAATTAATTTATTCAAAGACCGTTAAAAAAAATAAAAAATAAAAGCTTTTAGTTACCCAAGTATCGAACATATTATTTTTAATTTTTAATTTTAAAATTTATTTTGAATTATGACACTGCAATGGATAATACTTGACACACACAACATTTGACACATAATGGAGAATTGCATGTGATAACCATTTGGGATATTACTGAAATATTTTTTTTTTTTTTTTAATATTATTCATCGTCATTCGGATGGCCTGTAATTTGGAGACTCTATCTAATCTGCTACATTCGTCGATTCGGGTATAATTTAAAATATGAATAAGTACTAGTAATAAATACTAATTTGTTTACAGTTAAAATATACGACAGTTTTGTATAATATACGTATAGTTAAGTTATTGAATCAAAAAATAATAACTACATATTTATACTTGACATTAACATATTATGACATAATTACAGAATTTTAATGGCCGCATATATTATAAAAATAAAATAAAACAATTAATAAACCTACGAAAACAAAACAAAACATCATTTACCATATACGACATGATTGTTTTGAAATCGACAACGAATGATTTCTGTAGGAGGCAGTGTGTTATTTACACGGCCAAAGAATAAAATAGTTTATATTTCATCATAATAATATATACAATATAATGTACGCACATTATTTGTTAATGGTGTGTTATACACGCACAATTTCTATGCACAACATACGCCGTCGTTTACACACCGAGCTTGATGTCGATTCTCGACCTTTTGACATAGAAATAATAATAATCACCGATAACGCGTTAAACGGGCAAGCGTCTCTACCGTAACAACGTTATGAAAACGTTGAGCTGGCCTGTTTATAAAACACTATTTTTCCAACAATAATATTTTATGAAAGGCAGATTATTGTGTATCGGTCCGGGCGGCGGAAGTGCGATTTTGCGAGTTTTACCTTTTTGGGCACAGCGCCAGAATAACAAAAGACAAGGTTTTAACTGCCTATTCAAAGGTGTACGGTCGCAGCGCGTAAAATTGGGTGCGACGTTGCCAAAGTTTTTGTTAAACAAAAATTAAGTTATATCATAATTATTTGATATAATCTACTATAATATCGTACGGATGTATTATAAGTCTATGTATTATGCTTGGCAACGTTGCTTAAAAAGTAAAAATATTATAGCGCGCGCAATCGCACGCCTAAAAAGGTATCAACCGATAAGGACCGCTCGCAATCGTATCGCGCCCGGTCCCGGAACAACCGTCTCACATTGTGAGGACTCTCAGTAGCACTTGCAGTGGTCCAGTTCGTTTCATATTTTTTTTTCTTTTTTTTTTTTTACGTTGTTAATATAGCTGCAAAATGTTCAAATGTATAGTACACGATTCCGGTTACTAAACATTTGTATATTATTATATATATAGGTTTTTGGTACGACGTTCGATTCGACACGGTATTATGATTTAGTTTGGGGTTCAAACTGAACAGTGAACCTTTCTTTTCACTTAAGTGTTTCCTAAAATGTAGCTAAGCGTATATGTAGGTACGTCCGAACATCGCAGACACACTGCATTAACTACTGCTGCCAAAATACGGAAATGAATGGCGCACACATATTATTAATAATGTTTATATACATTGTACGCGTCAGATTATTAAACGTTCGTACGGCCGTACGGGTATTATAATATTATTATGTTATAACACAATCATCGCGAAGAGATAATAATAATAATAATAATCATTATTAATGATAACTTAATGTCGTTCTACCGGATGGCACAGACAATAGAACCCATCAGAAACGTGCTTTTGAAAAGAAACCATTTGAAAACCACGTTCACAAACGGATACAAAATATGTTTCTGCAGAGGAGACACACTGCGGCGTTGACGATGTCCGAATATCTCATAGGCCATAATATTGTATTGCACCTCCTACTCGTCCTTGGATTCCGAAGCCATAAGGATTAGACTAGATTATTTATTGAAAAAAGGAATACGGACTGAAATGACTCCCTATGGCGTGGACTGTACCCTGTTTATTATTATTATTATTAATATTACTTATTGTCACACTATACCCTTCTAGTCCAATGACTCCAACGTGTGTGGTGTGGGCATCTACACACACTTACACACACCCACCAAATACAGTTGTATAGACGGAGTATAAATGGTTAATGTGTAGTTTAAATTTCCGATAAGAAGGTTCTCGATAGCCATGTCCTCGCCACAGTCAGTCTTCATTTAGTCTTCTTCCGCGAATGCGAGCACTACATATGTTTTGAGCGCCGGACACGTTATTTCGTCCATATTTTTATTTTTCTCTCTGATATTTTCTTAATACTTTCATGTCTTCGAATATCGGTTTTGTTTAATTTTTTTTTATCTACACTTTCGTCATCATGGAATATATGGGATACCTGTACAGAAACACAGAAACCAGACCAAACGGACTTAGGTAATTTTTTTATATTACCTACCGACCAATTTTTTTTTTTTTTAAATAATCTTTTTTTCTTTTCTTTTTCCCTGTTGTTTTATAACAACTAGGTTGTATGTGTGCGACGTAGTTGGATGTTCTGCTACCGCAAAAAAGACCGTCTACGGCCACGTTACTTTGACGCGCCCACACAGCCATCAGACGCACGACCAAAACTCGGAGGGTGACGATGAAAACGCGCATCTGATCGAAACGCTAGAATTTAAGGCTGCCCTGAGAGCGAAAGTAAACAGCGGCCATGGGAGGTTAATCGATATTTACAAATCTGAAGCTCTCAAGTAAGTATAAAGCATTGAAAAAATAAAATTATAGTATTTTATTATATTAATGCATGCTTGTGTATTGTAATATCATAAATGTGTAAATAACTTGCAATGTATTATTGGTTTATCATCGATTTCGGTAGCCTTTTAGTATTTAACATCTGTTGCGCAAATGTATGATTATTTTATGAAATTTTACTAATACAACGCAGTGGTTTGCACTACAGAATTAGTTTTATATTGTTGACGATTACTTGATAAGATAAGACTGGAACAAGTCATAGGTTAAGCTATATGGCCGCCATATGTGTACAAAAAGGTTTTTAAGCGGGCTACGGTCGGTACACAGCGGGATACATTATCGAAATTCTAAGCAAAGATTATTTATTTCTCTTTCATTGATTCAAAAGTGTCAAGGAAGATAAATAACACTTCCTTTTCTGAATTTTGAAATTCTATTGTGATGAAAAAAAGACCGAAAATGACATGAAAGATTTAAGTATTATAATCAGGGCTTGCATTTGAAAAAAATATTTTGTAATAAATTATTTACAATTAAAACGTTATACAAATTTTGAGTTTATCATTATTCAGAATTAAAACGTTATTCAACTTTTGCGTTTATCGTTATTCAAAATTAAAATTGTTAGTATATTTTTTAATTTATAACTATTAAATAATTGGAAATTAATTATTTCTTTTAATGATATACTATATATAACGTTTTACGTTATGTTTTGTTTAATGATATATCATACATTTTGTTAATCGTAATGTTTTATTTTGTGTTATTTAATTATTTATGTTTATCGTTTTCAGTTATAATTATGTTTACAAATTGCAATCGTTTTTTGTCAAATATAACGTTATAATCATAACGTTATTATGACGTTTGCAAGCCCTGATTATAATATATAAAATGTAAAGTTCAATATTATGCAAAGTTATTAAAATATAGTTTAATTATTAATAATATTGTATATTTGATAAAATGTCTTTATTATTTGATAAATAATAATTTGTATTTATCGACCTGAGAAATTTGTTCAGCAACAGGTTTCTTTACTTTAAAATAGCATTGCGCTGGTTTTGAATGAAAGTGTTCGTATTATTTTAAAATTGTTTTGAGATAAAACCTGCAATATTGTTTCGTTTCTTAAAAAATGCATTTAAATTTATAATTTAGATTTCTATTAAGTTTTACTACAGTACATCATCTAAGAAATGTTCACTATATTGAAATAGAACAAAAATTGAAAACTAAAAACAAAAATATTTCTGTTGAAAATGAAAAGGTTTCTTTATGAGAAATATGATAAAACCATTGTTATATTTTATAATTTATATTTAGTACGACGATATGCGTGCAATTTTAAATAAAATTAATAATAATAAACAAAGTTAAAAGCTTAATTTTAAACATTCATATTAACTTTATTTAATAAATAAAATAACTCTGTTTTAATTTTCAATTATTTCTTACATAATATGTACTTTTTAATTAATAAAAAAAATAGTTGTTAGATACATTAAGTCATTTTGAAAATATTATACAGTCAATGATTAGTAAAATAGGAATGTTAATAACAAGCTAAATTTATTATTACCTATGATAAAATATACTTCCCGATTCGTATAAAAATATATTTTGATACTTATTAGTTATTATATTGTTGTATTGCTGGATAAATCATTAAATTATATATATTTTCATTCTAATACCTTTTTCTTTCTAAATAGAGTATTTAGTTTGAAAAATTTCTAACTAATATTTAGCTTAATTTCCTATATAGTAGTTTTTAATGATATAAAACCTTTTCATTTTCTGTAATTTCTTAATATTAGTGAACATACTAAATTAATTTTTACCTTAAAAATCTTAATATGATTAATACAAGAAGTGGTTTGATGTGAGTTATCATCTATTAATGATATTCACCGTTGCTACTTATATTTTTTTCCTTTTACTCTATTCTGGTAGAGTACCTCTTCGTAATCTTCGTAGTAGTAGTAATCTTCGTTTAAAAAAAGGAGGGGGGATAATAGGTCAAGATACCAATTTTTTTCAGACGTCTAAGTGAATTTCAGGAATAGATAGGACTGCGAGATTCCAAACATTAAAATATGAATCTTTATTATTAATAAGATCTAATTAAGAACTATTTCTTAAATTTATATTTTTTAAGATTTTAAACGTATTACTAATAGTATTTTACTAAATAATAAATTATTCACAATAATAATAGTTATAAATAATGTTGCTATTTCTTATACTTTTACAATTGTTTGTTTAAATTTATCGCAGTTTTAAATACTCGAATGGAAAATAATATTTAATTTGACCGTTCAGTATTTTAATATAGTATATTTAAACGACTCGTTTTTTATTGTGTTGAATAGTGATTGTATCTTACCTAATATATTAATGTTTATTATATTATTCCATAATATGTGTATGGTAATAATATATGTTTTTTTTATTTGGTGACCTTTTTTGAAGAAGTAAAAGTTATTCAAACCTAAATATAAAGGACGTAGTATGTTATAAAGCATATCATCTAATTAAAATTTTAGGTAGTAAGTAAAATGTAAAAAAAGTGAAAAATTGTAATAAATTTAAAAAAAAGAAGTATTGTTACGCGATTTGAAATGTTGTCATGATAATTTATTTTTTTATTTTTTTGAATTATTTTAAAAAGAAATAATTGTAGATGCATTTAATTTTTTGAATAACATGTATTTTAAAATATTGACTTTTTTATATTAATGAACAATTGAATTAAAAGTCAATAAGATTGAGAATGTAATAGAAGGTTTTTTATAAGCTGTACTTTTTACAGCAATTAAAATAAATATAAAAAAATTATAAAATCATGTTATTATAATCTGTGTACAGGTCACTATAATTAATGTGTTAATTTTTAATTTAATGATAAATCGGTTTTAAGACGATTAAATAACGATTCTGAGTCAAGTAAACTTGTTAGTCTATATTATATGATATAATTTTTTATATTACTATTATTTACACGATGTACCATACAAATTGGCGAAAATTAATCTAAATATTTTAAAAATGTTATTGCGTATAGTAAAAAATAATAATATAATATGTACAAATTTGAAGTTTTAATGGATATTATTTAATACAATAAAACAACTAATACCGTTATTTTTTGTTTAAATACCGAATTTCACAAAAATATAAATTTAAAATGCTTATAAAAATATTTTGACAATATATTTTTTATATTTTTAAAGATTAAATTGTTGTAAAAATTAGATTTTATAAAAAATAACAATTATTATGGTTATTTTGTTGTTGTTCAAAAATATTGCTTTTGAAAACTTGAATATTTTACATATATACACCTATTATTATATTTTACTAGGTACACTACAATATTTTTAAAATATTTGATTCATTTAAGCTAATAATCTATGGCATCTATGCCTCGAACTTATTCGCATTCATCTACATTAAGTCGGTATTAGCTTAAAAGTTAATAAATAATAACAATAATACATAATATTATGTTATTATAAAATACATAAATAATTCAGGAATTAGCGTTAATGATTAGTCAATAGTCAATAACAATATATCTGATCAAATTTTACCGTCGTTTACGACATTAAATAGGGAAAAAAATGTTTCTTAAGAAATCTTTATTATTTTAAGACAATGGTAAATAAAGTAATATTATATCCTTGATAATGATGTTAATTTTGGTATTTTTCAGCCAACATCGATAAAATTTATTAATTTAATTTTCTTGTTAAACTATATACCAATGTTGTAAAACCAATGTATCTAATCAGTACTTACAATAATATTCTTTTAGTATTTGATGTCAACAATCGATTAATATTAACTAATAGAGATAGCCATATTTTGAATACATATAACATACATTTCGATAGTCAACAATTTAAAATATTTGTATACACACACACATTACATATTATATTATAATACCTATATCTATATTTAGTAATTGATCAATTTTTTTGTGCTTTTTGCCGTGATTTATTAAATTTCTAATCAAATTAAAATGTTTTTTTAAGCAAATGATCCAAATTCTCTACCAGTAGTAGAATTGAAGTAATTTTCTAGTCATAAATGTAATTTACAAAATATTTGAGTTTTACGACATTGGTGTTGTTATTTTTTAATGTCTAACCATTGAAGATATCGTCTAATAATATTAAACTTTAATGATATAACGATATAAGCTTGCTATTTAGTGGTTTGCGTTGTTACCTAAATTACATTGTTGATGAAATATAAATATCAGAGTTTGAATTCCATTTTAAATATCAATGAAAATCGTTTATGAAATTAAATTAATTTATTGCAATTCATAATGAATATTAAAATAGTAATCGTTTTATAATTTGTGTATACAAAACAATAAAAAAAATTAATAATTATATTTTAATTTAAAGTTCAACGATTATAACCGATAGGTCAGTTATGTTGTTCATTAGTTGACAACTTGGTTTTTTAGACCGTTTTATAATCATATAATTACAAATCAGAAAACAATGTTGTAGCAATATAAAAAGCATAAAATTATAAAAACAATGTTAGATTATTTTAAATTTGAATCAGAAAAAAGCTTATATTAATAAGTAAAACTGAAATTAAAATCAAAAATTTCATTTTTATTTTCAGCCCTGTTATTGCATAAATATAATTATACTAATATACCTAATTATTAGGGCTCGGAAGTTTATGACCTTAAAAACAATAAAAAATGACCATAAAAATGGCAAAAAATTTCCTAAAAAAATTACAAATATTAGTTTTATATTAATAAAAATACATTTTTTTTTAAATATTTTACTCTATTTTATTATAAAATTCAAAATATGACATAAAAATGACAAAAATATCCTTAAAATAGGAAAATTAAAAAATTAAAAATATTTGTTTTATAAATGTTTGTGGTTTAAGTTATCGGCATAATGGTCAACAAGAAACGATAAGAAATAAACTAGTGTAAAATCAATAAAAATAACTAAAAATGTGGAAAATGACCTAAAAATCTTAAAAAATAACTTAAAAAATAATAAACACCAAAAAATGCAAAATAAAAATTAGTTATTTAGATTTTCACATGCTTATGAAACAGATTTGTGGCCAGGAGAGCATCGTCTAAAAAGTTCCAAAAAAAAAAATGCAAAATGCATCAACTTCCGAGCCCTACTAATTATTAATATTTATAATGAATGCGATGTTTTTGGAAATAAATAAATTTATCATATTACTAATAGTAATATAAATAATTCAATATACTCACTATTTGGTAATAATATAAGCTGACAGTTCTTTACATTCACAATCGATTTTTTATGCGATTATTTACCATTAAATTCAAATTTAATACAACCATTATAGTGACCAACTCGGTGTTGGTGAGTTGCGGCCCGATCCCTAAAAAACGTACGAATTGCGGCCCGTGTTTATGAAACAGACGTGCGAGTTGCGGCCCGTGTTTATAAAACAGACGTACGAGTTGCGGCCACATTTTACATTTTATTTATCACTTCATAGTGGAAGACACCACGAGGAGGTTGGCTGAGTCGTCTCCCAAAAATTTGTTTTTTTTTTTGTAAAAATGTAAAAATGGCAAAATGTATGGTAATTTATGGTAAAATTAATTTTAATATTTATGTAAAATATGTAAAAATGTAAAAATATTTATTGGTTGGGCAAAAACTTAAAACTTAATGATTTGACGAAATCAAACTGCTCTATTTCTTTTTGTGCTAGCTTTGTCATCTGTTGTCTTATAAATGCTTCTTTTTCACATATTTTCTTCGTTTTTATTCCATTGCTTCTACATTTGATATACGTTTCTGATTGAATTTCTACTAACACATCAATAAAATTATAGATGTTAGGATGACTAGAGTAGAACGATGAATTTAGGTGTGAATGAAAACTTTCACAGCCGTTAGTGGTACGGTTACAGCTAGCAGAGAACTGTGCCCAAATATTTGGGGGAAACATAGCATCCGGGGATATATAGTTTTCGAAAACATAGTCGGTAAATTGTACAACCCGATCATCTTTAGCGGGCAGTATTGCTAAAAAGTCATCCGTGAAACAATCAATGACGTTGTCAGAGTCCAAAAATAGCCGACCAACTAAATGACGAGCTGTACTCGACATAATACTAGTGGTGTTAGCATGCTTTTGTTTTGTTTTTGTTTTCCCGATTTTATTGAAAATAACTACCCTATGGAGCACTAATGATGCTTCAGTAATAGAGTTTTCAAACTTATTGCCTTTGCTTATTATTAAAATGTGAGCGTATTAATTTTACTATGTTAAACACCTAAATACCTAATCTCATTTGCTTTCAGATATCCAATAGGTGCTGTCAATTATCCATGGAGTTCTGCTTGTTCGTTAATGACTCGAATGAGTAAAAACGGTTTTCCAGCAGTACCAAACACGCTCGTAGAACTTGATAGCTTGTTCATGAATGGTGTACTAAATCGGTTTTCTATCAACGGCCATAACATGTACAAAGGTAGGCACTGAAATATTACATAAGACATTTGCATTTTAATGTTTAATGATAAATTGACAATCTATTTAATATTGTTTTGTACAATTAGGTTATGTGACAAACAACGAAGGAAAATCATCTATTGTTTTTGCATGTCGTACTTTAGTTGAACTAGTTTTGAGACTAAATCCCACTAATATGTATGTTGACCAAACATTTAGTATCACTCCGCCGAAACCGAAATCAGTGGAATTATTAACTATACACTTCGAAATTGATGACTATGTAAGCTAAATACATTTATTTTTAATACTGTACGTACTTACTAAGTAATTTTTTTTATCGAAGTAAAATGAAAATTTTAAATACTTATTAAAATAGTCAGGAAATAGAAATAAAATACAAAATAAGAAAAACAATAACTTTTACGTAACATTTTTTAACAGCACGATTTTTTTTTTTTTTTTAATAATTAACCAAAGAAACTTAAATTTATTTACTTTTTAAAATGTTGATGATTTTCAGACATGTCTAAAAGAACTAAAAGTTCTAATAAAGTGCCAAATAAATTATCCTTAAATCATACATTCTCGTAGAAACATTTTTTGGAATATAATTATGTTGTAAGTAACTGAATAGTTTATTATTTATTTCAGAGTTTTCCCGTTATATACTGTTTGATGGAAGATAAAAGTTTTAACTCGTACTACAATCTTATTTGTTTTATTAAAAACAATATATTACCAGATTACTGTCCCCGTAATATTTTTTCGGATATTAACTTGTATTTAGTATCTCCATTAGGGTTTTATTTTCCTACTGCGTCTATTGAATGTACTTGGTTTCAGCATAATCAGGTATGTATCAAAAATTGCCTCGATGTATAATAATTATGTTAACAATAAACAATGTTTAAAGATTTTATATGAACATATGGTACGTTTCGGCTACTTAAATCTAATCATGAACAGTGGAATCGCCTTCAGGTGTTTAAAAATGTTGATGGTGCTGCCATTACTACCACCGAATAAAATAGAAACAGGGTTTGAAGAAGTGAAAGCGTATGCGATGAGAATGCGAGTCCACATGCCCCAAATATTTAACTATTATAGATGGTAATAATGCATTTCATTTTATATCATTATTTTTAGAGTTTTTATGTATTATAAATTATTTTATGAGCTGTAAAAATAACACCGATCACTTAAAAAATATTTTCTCAGGCATTGGCTGTATCAAATTGGCACGAATAGTATATCTGTTTACTTGAAACCAACAAAAACAATCGACAACATTGAGTTATTTCATAAAAAGTTTGATCGCACCCTTCGAAGTTCGCCCACTATTTGGACATTTCTCAGTAAGCATTTATATAAAATATTTATATTTAATACGTATACAATACATCTGTAAACGTTTTATTTATTGTTATATTGATTTCGAACAGGTGGTATTTATAATCTTAATAGCATATACGCCACAGAAGCAAATCGGCTTATTCAGGGAGGTTTTCCAGCAAGAAGTTTTAGATGTCAGCTTATGTACAATAATTTAAAGATTAAAGTCAACACTCAACGACTGATGGCAGGCAGAGTTACAATCAAAGACTTTATACTTTTATGTTCAGAAACTCTAAACGGTTATGAAGAACATTTGAGATCTTGGGCTGTTAAAACGTCTATGAATAATGCATTAAATCAAGATCTGAATGGTGAAAGTTCTGGTACTGATGTTGAAATGAATGATGATGATTTTGGAATATCCAACAACGTTGCTCATGAAAATTTAGAGCAACAACAACAACAACAACAACCACCACCACAACCTCCACAACCACAACAACAACAACCCCCACAACCACAACCCCCACAACAACAACAACCACCACAACCACCACAACCACCACAACCACCACAACCACCACAACCACCACAACCACCACAACCACCACAACTACCACAACAACAACCACCACAACAACAACAACCACGACTACAACAGTTACAACAACTACAACATGAACTCGAACGCATAGTTAACAGTACTGATCCTAGTGAAGACATGCCAGCTTCACCAGCATCCGATGTTCAGTCTCCAGAAATCCATGGATATTGTATGGTCTGTTTTACAACGAAACGAGAACGCAAGTACATAATTTTACCTTGTGGCCATTCTTGGATGTGTCAAAAGTGTTGTAACCGAGGTTTAAAAACATGTCCATACTGCAGAGAAGAAATACAAAGTTTTGTACGCGTTTTGGAAACAACCATATAATTATATACCACCGACTAAAGTAAATTTTATTAAGATACAATCTCCATGCAAAATGTTTACTACTTCCATTTTATTTTCAATATGTTATTTACACTTATGTCGGTGGAAGCAATAATTGTTCCTACTACTCAGTATGCAATTTTGTCTCAAAAACGCAGCATAGATCTTTTTGACGGAGATTGTATCTATTTTTTTTTTTTGTACATGAGTATTTTAATATTATAATACTTTTGGTACATGAGCTAACTATTTTATTTTAAACACCATCGTGATTTATAAAGTTACCTATTCATTTTTAAGTTTTTCGTTAAAAAGCATGTTTTATATTTAAATACATTATCTTTTTTTATATTTTATATTTTATTTAAAAAATACTTATACAACATTATGATGAAAAACACCAATTAAGATAATAATAATTGACTGATTTAAGTAACTCGATCATTTTGGTATATTTTTTATAAAGCCATAATATAATAATTATTAACGAACAAAAAAAAAAAAAAAATCTCTCAATAATATTTGGCTTAAAATAATTGACCGATAAAAATGTCCCAATAGTTATTTTAAATTTAGCTATATAACAAAAAAATAAAAATATTAATAATAAATAAGTACTTAACGTTTATCGTATATGATAAAGCTCATTTAATAGTAATAATAAATAATTCATAGAAATTATCTTTTATGAATTACTTGTATTAAACAATTAAGGCTAAATTAGATAATGGTTTATTTTAATTAATATTTGAAAAAGTAATTGGTTTGTGATACCAGAGAACATTTTTAGACACTTGGCAAGTAAAAGATATGTATTTATTATCATGGTGACAATAATCATCAGTTAATAAATAAATAATTTTGTATTTGACTGGTGATGAAAATAATCAAATAAAAAGAAATATTGAATTTACAATTTTTATGTTTTATTGAAAGAAAATATAATACCAAGTATATGGAAATTTAACTAATGTAATAAATAATAAATACACGAAAATGTATTACTAAAGAGTTAAAAATTCATGAGACAGTACAATACAAATAATATTAAAACTATTATAATATTATGTACAACAATAAATTTATATTTTAAATTTTTTTAATATTTTTAATTTAAAAGCTTTGGCTTTTAATTTTAATTTTTCATTATATATTCTCATATGTATAACTCATATTATATTAATGATTTTCAATTTTTGTGTTTAATTTACATTTATTTTATTACTTTTTAAACAATTACCTATACACTGTAATTACAAAATTAAAAAAAAAAAGAATTAAATTGAAAAAAATATGTATATACTAATATTAAAAATAAGTAATTAAATCATGATTATTACAATGCACCAGCTAGTTCATAAGACTTGAGAATTATACCTATTATGATTATACTTAATAATCTTTATATATTGTTAGCTGCTGTTAACGAATTAAATAGGTATAATGGTGTTATCGTAGTTATTGTTACTTAGTTGGAAATCTCAATAACTTCATATTGAGAAAGTCTTTATATTTATGTATTTATGTATGCATTTTAAATTATATCAAGTTTATATCAAATTTATCATGTTTATAATTAAAAAAATTATATCAAATTTTGCATTTAAAAATACATAAATACAATATTTTAATTATAACTTTATAGATTATTTATTTTTAATAAAACCAAAATAATATTTATATAGTTATATAGTATATATATATATATATATTACATCAAACTATTTTTAAATATTTAAACTTAAAAAAAATTAGAGAAAAAATTCAAGCACCTATATATTGGTAAATTTTTTTGTGAATTGAACTTTTGTATGTCACATCGCTCTTTTAATTTTTAATGGTTGATGAATTTCATTTCTCAACTTAATTGTTATTGTATTATATATTATATTCATGATATATAATTCGATACACCTATGCATTACTGTGCCACTGGTTAATGTGGTGAAAAACATTGATGCCATTTGCGACACATATATTGAATGCTATGCTTTTGGACTTAGGATAGCTAACAATACTTGTGTAATAGGTATATGGATAACGGTGTTTGGTTTCGCATAGTGACAATCATTTAAGGAAGAAGATTAATGGTGCTTAGCTTTCTTTTAAGTATTTAAAATAATTTAAAATGTAAATTTTCAAGTTAAAATATAAATCCTACGTCTAAATTTGTTAATTAGTAATTTATTCACTAAACTGTTCTAATGATAAGTTCATATTCAAATAATATTCAACCAATTTCTTTTTTTTTATTTCATTATTCAATTCAAAATTTCTATCAATTGTTACTGATGCGTTGGTACCTACTGCAGTTGGTACAAAATTCTTTTAATATGTATCACTATGATGCAATTGAGCAATTTTATTTTCCTATCAAACCGTTCACAAACTCGTGATAAATTTTGGACATCACTATTACAGTTCATTTACCGACTACAAAATCTATACAAATACATGGATGGCCACTCCTGCTGGCGAAGCTTTGGTCTAATAAGGACCAATATTTACTACGGTAAGGTACAGTATTAAGAATTTGCGTATCTTATTAATGTGCTGTCTTCACTAGTTTTATATATTTTTATTCATTTTTTTTTTTTTTTAATTTTATTAATTGTATCATACAATATTGTTACTAGACATTGGCAAGAACAACGATACGTACTTATTTTGGTTTGAAAATGTATACGAAATTATTGTAGAGCTGTTTATAAGAACAAAAGTGTATCAACGTGATATGATCAAAGGATCCGTATCAATAGATAGTGGTCAATTGATAGCGTGACAATAGATAGTATCGTGCAATTTTTTTCAATACCAATTTTTCACAAATTTGTTAATAATTAAATTAATAATCATAGGTTCTCACAAATAAGCTATATCAATAATTATGATAATAATAGATTTTCAGAAATAAATTTTAACAAAGTTATTATTAATTAAAATAATAGTACCTGTTTAGCCACGAGGTTCCTACAATTTAGTAGTCGACCTCGATGACTACACCACCGAAAGAATAAATATGAATAATCGTTGAGAATTGCCTAAAGACAGGTGGCCATACAATATGTAAATATTTGAATCGTATTTAAACGTATTTAAGAAAAATATAATATTACGATACGTGAAAACTATATTATCACCGACGACGAAGTGTTTACACAACAATTGATATTAGGATAAATGATATTACAATCATTATCGTCGTGATGATAATAATATAATAATAATCAGACAAACACGATATAATAGAATCGTGGTACAATTTGTATGATATGATATATATATATAAAGATTGCAATATTTACGCGACTCCGTTCCAATATGGATATTACTGATGGCAGGTAACGAATTGACGGCGACAATTAGGCCACTGGTCAGTTGTTTCTTCTTCCAGTGCGCGACGGCACAACAACGGGCAACCAAAACAGTGATAATATAATAATTGATAGCGGACGGCACTTACAGTAAGTTTACACACGCCGACCGATCGTTACACGACGGAGATCGCGACACACGCTATTATTTAAAGTTCACGATGAACCGGACGACCACGCATCAATACAAAGACGACTGCGAGACACAATATATATATTGAAGTTTTACGAAGTGCGGAAACCGCGACAACCATATATGTATATGTGATCAACACCTGGATCGCAAGACGTCGGATGCGGAACACTATTATAGTCGTACTCACTAGACAGATGAAGACCGCGAGACACACTATATATATATATATATATTTAAGTTTTACGCAGTGCATAAATATATAATATGTATATATGTGTGTAGGTGACTCAGAACGCAAGACGGTGTAAACGTTTTAAATTACAAGTAAAAACGCAACACACAAAAAAACCGAACTTGGCGAAGGACGAGTCTAAAGCTAGCGCACACTTAGACAATTAACAAAATTCATAAGACGATCCGAGTCTGAGGCGGCAATGTGACGACAGCTTGTTACCACAAAAGCGTCGCACGGAAGAGTGACTTTTCTTCATGCCGGTGGCTCCGACATCACCAAAATATGTTATCCGAAATTAGTAGCCATTGGCCCTATATCACGTGAGGTAGGGCAATATCTAGTACGTAATCTTTACGGCTTTTATAATTCCGTAAAGATATTTGATTATGAGGGCCGTTGATCTACTAATCCGACATTACTATCGGGAAATCGATCTCAAAAATAACATAATATCATAAGTCCCATCGACCTCAGAGGAGAAGAGTCGCGATTAGGGCCATAAAATCTATTTATATTTCATAGCACCCGATAACTTGCGCGAACACCACTATTAAAAAAAAAAAAACAAACAAATGCATTACAGTTAAAAGTGGTGGAAACTCTAGATTTAGAATCTAAATTAAATTATACGCCGTAATCTCACCGATAAATTAGATAAGTTATAATCCCAGCCCTATTTATAATATATATTTTATCAAATAGCCTATAAATATATACGTTATCGATATACAATCTATGTTATTCTATGTATATACGTATATACGGTTTACTTACTTTTCGCTATTAGTATTTTCGCTGTTAAAAATATTTCGCGATTTTTATTTTCGTTGTTTTATTTTTGCTGTTTTATTTTCGCGATTTTCACATAGACTCGATAATTATAGCAAAACACGAATAATAATTGTATTAGATAAAGTATCTTCTAAATATTATTTTTATTTCTTAGCATTTTAACGTAATTTTGTTTTATCGTGGTGAATTATTTAATTATGACACAGTAGAAGAATAGCGTGTGTGCACGAAACTTTGTCTTAAACTACAAAAAATGTCTTCTGAAACTTTTGTACTTCTATAACAAGCTTTTGAAGCTCTCGTTTTGTCCAAGTCCTCGTATTTTAAATATTTTAAAGACAAACGAATATCTTATGGTTCTTAATCAATAAATGTTAGTCAATGATTTAGAAAAAATACCAAAAAAGCCAAGTAGATTAAAATAAAAATATATGAAAGCCAAGTCAACCATATTTTTTTGATTTTTGTGGGATAGTTTAACGTAAATGATAAAAAACTCAAGATCGAACAGTGAACAAGCATTTTTATTTGTAAGTCATGTATAGATTATGTGAACAATTTGAGGGAAAAGGCAAAAAATTGTTCTCAAATGACAAAAATGTCCACTATTTATTGCTCATTCGACAATTTTATCGATATTATTTTATTTCATATCTCTAAACGATACATTC